ATTCAGGACTAGGTTAACTAATTTTAGTTAATATTATAAATGTTTAGTGTATTTTACTATATTATATATATTTAATTTAAAATACTAGTTTTTAATATAAACTTTGGTTAATTCGGTTCGGTTCGATTCGGTATCAAGTAATTCGGTTATTGAAATTTATATTCCGTAATTTTGCCAACCCCCCTAGTCGAAGAGAACAAACAAATCATATACACAACATTATTACAAGCTTTTCTTTTCAATTAAGTTTCCAATTTTTGTGATTTAAGAAGTCCTAAAATCTATTTCATTGCATTTTTTTTGCTACTAGACTAGATAGATCTTAGAAGATTGCTTAATGAAATTATGATTTTTTTTACACAATGCGAGAAAAAAATTGTTCTGTATAAATTGAATATAATAAAATCAACAGCAAAAGCGCCACTTTCTTACAGACAAAAAAAAAGCGCAAGATAGTACAAAATCTACAGAAAATGATGTATTATATAGCTCAAGCTTTGGTGTATACCTCACCAATCTCAACAAGCCTTTTGATCTATAAACGATCTCCACAAAAAAAAAAACTATGGAGTAACAAAAAATATGACACACGACACATAAAACAGATTCAGTTTTGACTTGGGGGGGGACTAACCATACTTACATAATGTTACACACGACCAAAAACATGTTCATCTGATTTTAAGATTTCTTCGGCTTCGTACTCCACCTCGGACTCTCGAGTATTCAAACCCGAGATTTTCCCGCACCAGTGAGTTTTCGCCATTTTGTATCAACGAGGTTTGATTCTATAATCTCATTCCCATCCAAGCTTTAACATTTGATCCACCACTTTCAAGCTTAACTGCAAGCATTTATGAACTTTGATTATAAACTATGTACAATGATAGAAACTTTGTGTCTTGATAAACTGATGTAGAACCGAGAAACTTACGGCCGGATCAGTGAAGATTATCAACTGTTTATCTTCCGTGGAAACTAAGAGGTTTGTGTTGTCAATGTTCAGAGCCAGTGCGGTTATATCCTGGCCTTGACTAAGCTTTAGCACATGGAATACCTACAAGACAAGGGTTTCAGGTTGTTTAGACCAGAAAATAAGCACCGGTGAATTAGTTTATATCTCTTCAAGGAGTTTTGATAATACCTGTAGCGTGTATAAGTTGAGGAAGCAAATTGAAGGAGATGGAACATCCAGTCTTTCGATTTCTTTGTCATCTTTTGATGTATCGTTACTACTCGAAATATCCATGTTGGAACATGAGTTCATCCCGATCAAGGCGTTTTGACCGTCCATGGATATTTCCATGCAACTTATGCTACAAGAGAAAGGAAGTTTTGCTTTGGCAATCAGTTTTCCGTTGATGGTGAACACGCTAATTGAACCTTCCGAACTACTCCATGCCATTATAACCCCATCAGATGAAATGCAGAGAGAATTTGCCTTCACACCAACTAATCGTCTGATCAACCGTCCTTTTCTTATGGAATGCAATAGAACATCTGAGGACTCAGAAGACGAAACAACGACACCTTGATCTGCGCTGACGCAACAACAAACTATTTCTCTTCGGTGGCCACGGAGCACTTGTATAGGCCCTTCAATACGACATTTTTTGGCTTTGTTTGCCAATGTGTTGGCAGGATTTGTGTTGCTTGCGGAGGATTGCGCTCCGGAGCCAGTTGATGGCTCAGACACGCTTGTTCGTGAAGTTGACGCCTTGTGAATTCTCCACAGCAAAACAGTAGTGTCCCCTGAACCCGTCACAAGGAAATTGTTGTCTGGAGACAGAGCCAGACATGTAACAGGGGCACAGTGCCCAAAAGCTGTTTCCAGAGTTTTTGCTCCATCAGATGAGACTAGCTTGATACTATTATCCGCATGTCCACCTATAATCAAACACACGATTTCCGTAGATACATTACAAACAAACTTTCAAAAATAAATTCGAGACATTGGGACCGTATAATTGCTAATTTACCTGTGATTATCTCCCCATCACTTGTAATAGCAACTACGGACGAACTTCTGATTCCTGATGAGGCAAATGCTTGTGCCTGGGGAAATTGCCAATCACTAGTTCCAGAACTAGCCGGACCCTTGAACATGCGCATCAATGATCCAGTAGTCGAAGTTGCCGTTGCCTTCCCGTGATGAAAGAGGAAAGGAGTACCTTGGCCATCAGGAGTGTTTGGTTGCCACTTGTGCTGTGCAACACGAGCTGCTGGCACGTTCATGTCCACAACCACAACACTATCTGCAGATGCCTGAATGGCTGCGGCCGGTAAGTTGCAGCGTTCTGGAGCTTGAACAGCATACGGTTTGATCTCCTTTGGATTTCGGAAAATGGTCTGACGAAAATTAAAAGTAACTGTCATGTTTAAGTGGCAAATTTAGCAGAGGAACGTAGTACGTAAGATATTTCTTTGTCTTAATTTTTCCGAAGAACACCGTATAGTAGAATCTTTTATACTCTGTTAAACCTTATGACACAGACCCCCTATATTAAAACAATACTTTTTTTTGTGATCAAAGTTGTAAGGAAACTATTGACCTTCAATAGTTCACCCTCAGAGAAATGGTCATGTTTAAATTAGGTGTTAACTAAGAGTGCAATAGCAAACCAAATTGACACTAGCAGTTACCTGCATATGTAGGACATCTTTAAGCGGCATCCTCTTCATGTGAGGAACAGTCAATAGCTGGGACGGTGTTTGCCCAAAATAAGCTATCTGGTCTTGCGTAGCACGTTGTTGTACCTTCATCAAACATTTACGGGCAAGCCATGTCAACATATTAATACTAAAACTGAGCAACTACAGCAGTACAACGAAGTTGCCTTACCGGGTCCGTGATCTTATCAATGTCAACAGTCCCCTCGTAGGTAATATAGAAGAAAACGTTATTTGCCATTATAGCTTCTTTGCCACGTTGCTTATACCTATATGAGTTTAATTAAAGTAACAAAAAAGTAGAAAAAACAATTTAGTTGCTTCCAAAAAAAATTTTGTTGTGATTATTTTGCTGGTCACTCAGTAAAAGGAGGAAACTAAGTTATGGAGAGCACATCCGTTCAAAGGAGAAAACCTACCCAAATATGAGATCAATCCATTCATGCAAATGTTCAGATACATGCTCGCTCTCAAGAGCCCTTCGTTGTTTGTGTACAAAATCCACTGGGTTTTTAGCCCAAGGAGGAAGTTTTACAGCATCTGATAGAAACCAAAAAAAACCACATCAGATAACAAAATTTTCCCCATGCCAGGCATAAATTTTAGCTATGACAAGGAAGAGAATAACAATACCAAGCTTTTCTCCCAACTGTGTTGTACCAAAGTCGATGGAATTTTCGTTGGTCAGCACCTCAGGGAGGTAAAACAACTCCGGAACCTGTAATGCAAAATTTAGTGGCGAAACATAGGTAGGCTCTTGAATTGCTGAGGAAAACGCGGATAAACAATTCCATTTGATGCTTTAAGGAAACCAATACATACCAGCTCCTTCACATCACTCATGTCTTCAAGAACTCCATTCCAAGTGGCTGGAAAGTCTGAAAACAGACGGTCTGCATGATCAAACTTTCCACCTTGAAGTTGAATTGACAGGGTTGTGAATGGTTCAACTCTGGCCAGATAATACAACACCTGCACACATGAGATAAACCGATAAAATATTGAAAAGAGTACAAACTCCATCGAGCTGCATCGAAAGTAGTATCTATTGCCCTTCTTCCATGATTCAGATGGACACAAACTTAAAATTGGGAATGGCAGTGATTGGGACAGAATATTATAGAGAAGAGAACTTACTGCTCCAGCACTTGAGTAATGGGAGCCATAGTGGAATTTGGGAATGACTGGATCTTCAAAGCTAGAATATCGCTCTTGAAATTTAGTAAGCCGCTCCGGGTTCAATGCACCAATTGGCTAAACATATATAGACCCACATCAGAAAATGTACTAGGTTTATGAATCATCATATGCAGATTTAGAACGTAAAAATGGAAGCAAAATGCAAAGAATACCACCTTGGAAAGATCTCTAAAGGCAGATGGAT